CTTGATATTAAACCGTAAATTATTGTTATTAAGTATGGAAGGTAGAATAAAAACGGATCGGAAGAAAAATCAGGTCTTTTTATTGATATTGCAATCCTTTAGTCGATAAAAATTGTTTAAAAAGCATCCTAAAAAGTCAATTCTTACAATCTTTCCTAATAATTTAAAAGGAGGGTAGTTGCTAATTTTCTTTACGTTTAGGTTGCAAATGGGCGACGAGATGTCGAAGCGGCGTAAATTCATGTTCGTTGCGTGGGTGGGGCCCAACGTGTCGGTCATCAACCGCGCTAAGATGTCCACTGACAAGGCCATCGTCAAAGATATCATTTCTGTGAGTATGCAGATAACTCTAGACAACACTACCAATAGCCCAGTGGTTAAAAGTAGAATTTTTTCCATTGTGGATTCGAATCCGCTATAGGACTTTTGGCTTAAAATATACCACACAACAGCAGGTTACAGAAATAACAAAAGCCATAGTTTTATTTAATGTTTATTCAGAAAATAATACAATAAATATCTTAAATGTAAAGAATTCTGCTCTTCACAAAACTATAAAACATGTAAAAGGTTTTTTATGTAATTTGCACAATTCTATTAAGAAAAAAAAACATAAAAATCTTTTATTCCTCTAAAGCTCATAGCTCAGTTTTTACAAAATTCAGTTAAAATTGAGCGCATGAAATAGCTTTAGAGAAATGGAGATTATTCTAGTTTCTGAATCAGTTCAACTGTTCAATTACAACTGAGCATGTACCTTAACAATTAACTTATTAAAACTTTCGTGAGACATTATACTACATAAATTATAACACGGCTAAACTCACGTGATAACATTCGGTGTAGGCACCGACAGTTTCAAACCCGTTGGGGGTCCTTTTTCAGGGTGAGTGATTAATCGGGTATACTCGCTATCGCGTCGCGATGGTCACTGATGTGATGTTATCACGTGAGTTTAGCCGTGTTATAATTTATGTATGTACCTTAACAGTTGAAAGCTTAGGTTATATAAAGTCATATAAGTACTTGCTTACATTAAAACCAACAGTTTGAGCGACAGCACTTATAAAATCATATCCAACAATGCATTTGTACTTTGCAGTATCTAAATCTATTTCCTTACTCCCAGCTATTAATTTTAATTCCACCAGAGTTGCTATTTGTGCTAATAAGTTACTCGTAAGACCTATCTTCTCTTCTAGAATAGCATAGAAGATTGCCAACAATCTATCTAAAGTGAAAACTTTAGGCCCAAGTTGTGTAGATAATTTTTCTGTTACTTTTGCCTTAGCCTTGACTTGTTGTAACCTTTTTCGTTGTTTCCCGTGGTTCTTCATGAATAAATGCTTATCTTCCTTTGGAGGGTTATAGCTAGCGAGATATGCAGCTATAAGTAAAAATTTAGCATAATATGGAAGTTCGAAACTCTGTGCAAACGTTTTTGTTGACATTAATTCTTCTTTCAATGTATTCTCAAAGTTGTATGTTTGAAAGTTAGTTTTGTTTTCTTTACTAGGTGAGGCTGCTTTGCCGTCGCTGATTCGAAGATATAAATGTGCTAAACTTGATTTTAGTACTGGCGTGATATGACGCCAAAGTCTGTCAACATCACTTGCTTTGATTTCTTCTTTTATTATTGGTTCACAGTATTTGATGAAATTTATTTGCGCCATATGTCGTAGTTCTATTAAATCTCGACAAGGTCTGTAGAATACAGATAGAAATGCGTTTAAAAAGTTTGCAAATAATTGTTGTTCAGTTAACTCATTTATTATTTCTTCTTCTATTTTGTGTTGATTTATTATTTCATCAATGAATGTTTTATGGTTTGTTATAATAATCTTGAATAATTCATCTCGTGTGTAATTAGGGAAGAATATCTGTATCGGCTCTAGAGCGCCTATTTTAAAGAAAAAATTATCGTAAGTTAAATGAGTTACAAAAATAGTGCAAATGTTGAGGTTACAGAATTCTCGCAGACGTAAAAATGTACACATTAATGTCTGATCCATGGCTCGTAGTCTTTCAGCACGATCGAATATGATAATGATGGGTTCATAAGTTATTTTCTCGTATCCAAATTTGACTAAGTAATTCGTAAGGTCCGATAATGAATCACATTTTATGTCTACATCGTCGTCTTGTAGGCCATCAAGTATCGTCTCGAAGATTAGTTTAGGTGAATAACACTCGATACAATCGATCGTAATGTATTTAAAACGTAAATAATCCAATACATTAGTCAAACATAAAGTTTTGCTGGTCGCCATACTTCCGCTGATAAATATAGAATATGGCAGTGGTTCATCATATTCTCCGAACAAATCTAATAATGTGTTCAGTTGGTTTTCTCTACACGGCACTTTGTTTAGTAATTCTTCCATTTTTTACTTTTGTAGTTTTAAAATTGTTTATGTTTGAAAACGTTCTTATTTGACAGTTGTCAGTTGTTAGATGTCATTAATTTTATCGTTAGTTACGTTTCGTTTTACGCATTATTTTATTTGTACAAATAAAAAACATCAAGGTACTAATATTGAGTAATAAAATATTTATTTTCTTGTTTACTTTCAGAATTTCGCAGTAGAATTGCAGTTGGAGAGCCAGGCTGAAATAGACATCGATCAATTTAAGGACGCGCTGAACAGAGCGGGCGGCGCGAACTACGGCACCGGGGTTAGGGATTTATGAATTGCACAATCGAACATCGTCTGCGCCTTACCATTTTAATAAAACGATTTTAGACAATACAATTTCTTATTCATTTCTGCAGATATTTTTAAATCGACTACGATATTTCATCAACTAATTTGTTATAGTCATGATAGCGTGTGTATTATGTAAAAATTGTAGTCTCTTCCAGATATATTAGTGTCGCTATAATTTTTAATACATATCGGGTGCGACAGCGCCATCTGCCAGCGTTCACAAAATTGTACGCGCTTTGTTCTAAGCATTTTTTATCTAAGTAGTGCTTTTTATATTAATCTTTCAGTCATAATAGTTAAAATAATTCGAAAGTAATATCTTCTCATGAAGGTTAATTTATTTTTTTAACATTGTAAGGTCGACAGATTTATTTATGGATTAATTTTATCATTAAAAATAACGTGTTAAGGCGTTGTGCAGTCACGTATCTTTGTAACGAGGTTTTTGCCAAAAAGTTGTAATGTTGCCATGTATAAGGCGCGTTAGGTGCATTTATTTTTTTGTCTACTCAGATTTTGATGACCAAGTCGAAATTTTACATTGTATTGTATACAAGAAAAGTTTGGATTTTAACTGCTTTTATATACTTTGAATAGTGTTACTATCCAACATAATTATTGGTGAACCGACCGATAAACGCAAATAACCAAATTTATTTGATCTTTTATTTCAAACACCTGATATTTCCCCAACAAGTAACAATAAGAGCTTGCACACCTTTGATTCAACTATCGCACGACAGTTTAGTCTGTTTGATTGCTATCAGCATATGTGGAGGTGCGCACACTACTCGATTTTTAGTTGTGCAATAAACAGTTATATTGGTTGCGAAGCAATCGACATCATACAACTATTGGCGGACTATCTTCATTCTTATGGTGTTATATGGCAGCGCGCATACTCACTATTCCATAAACAGAAGTACAAGAATTTTCCTGAAAAGCCCTGATTTAGTCGGCCGATTTTTTGTCTGTAGTGTGTGCACACTATAGCCGATCGGATCAAACAGTTTGCGGTAGTTTAGTCAAAGATGTCAGCGCTGTAAGAATTACTTTAAAGGTTCAAAGGCCCAATCCGCTGAGGGAGAGTCATAAACAAGATATAGAATAGAGCAGAAGGTTTAAAGGGTTGCAAGGAAAAAAAACACAAATGACTGAAAACGTGATTTATTTAAAGCAGTAAATGCCGAAATACATTAATGATTACATAATACTAAAAAAATGAACTAACACAATTTAGCTCTAATGAACACATTGCCGTGTGTAGTACAAAAAAAAAATAGTAAAAAAGAAATATTGAAATGCACCATAAAAATGGAAATACAAGTTATTACAAAAATATTTAAAAGAGTTAAAAAACAAGGCTCTTGATATATAAAATGCATTATGCTTTGATTTTAGGTTATTGTACTATAAAAAAACATGATTAAAAAAAATGTTAATATATATTTTTGATATAACTAAATATAATCTAATGGTAGTAAACTAAAAAAATGGGCGTTTTTAAAAATAATTATTGATTACTTTCACTTAAAAAAAATCTCTAGATTGTTCTCGAACAAAAAATTCTTTAATAAATTTTCAGGCAACTAATTTTTCTAATTTCCATTACTTATTAAAAATGTTATTTTGCTTACAAACTATCATAAGAAGTATTTTTTTAGTAAATCTTAAACCGAGCCCTGGTTAAAAAAATAATTTTGTTTAACTTTTGTTATATTCAAATTGTACTTTTATATTAGTTCATTTTATTATGAAAGTTATTAAAATATTAAAAATATAAGTAAATGGTTAGCTTAGGCACTGATTACTTAATTCTAGATTTCAGTTTATGGTCAAATCCAATAGAAATGAGAAATTACGTTATTGGCTGAGTTATTTATTGTGTTTATATTTCAATAAATTCTCCTTTTTGTAATTCTTAAAGTAATAAAAAAACGTGTCTGTTTTTAATACAGCCTTATTGAGGTTATTTTAATTTCTCATTTCTATTGATTTTACTATACTATTTGCATATTATTTTAAGTATAAGGCAATGATTCTACATTGATCAGATACGAATTTTTAGGGGTTTTAGGGGGTCTATGTTCATATTATCGTTGGTCCTTCACAATAGGGGCAGGGGGTCGTTGTTGCAGGGGGCGCCAAGTGACATCATCGTATTGCAGCTACTAGTGATTGTGTTCAGATGATGAATATGACGTCACGTTACCAGGGGGTTGTTGCCGGTGTTGTTTGTAGTAAGTTGTGTTAAGTATGCGACCTGGGGGTCGTGGTGACGTCACGTAAGTAACTGGGGTCGTTGTATGATGTTAGGACGTGGGGTGCAGTGTGACTTACGTAATCGCGGGATGTGGCGTTACATATAAGAGCTGGGGGTCTGTTGACCAGGGGGTCGTGTGTGGTGTGACGTCACGTAAGTAACCAGCGGGTTATTTTGTGCAGTGACATATGAGGCGAAGTGTGACGTACGTAGTC